GCCTGGGGGCCTGCTGCTGTGGTCCATGTTTCCGATAGGTCAGGCTGCAGAGATGCTATCATGTTACAGGGATCCATCATCTACGCACATCTGGAGAAGGTTTTCAGGTCTCGCCCCCCCTTTGATGGTCACATCGCTGCACCCTGATTCCAATACACTCTCATCGTTCTCCCAAAAGATTGTCAGTATTCTTCTTTTAATCATTTTAATCCAAACAAACTGAACATAACTCACAACCTCTCACCTCGCTTGGACGTATGACTCGCAGTGATTTCATTCACTCCCATGGAAGCAGAGATTTCACATACTGTGACAGGCAGCTTTCTCAGACTTCTCGCTTTATCTGCTACGCCATCAACAGCTCCGCGCCAAACAGCGCACCTCTTTTCGACTCTAGACTAGCAGGTGTAGAACACCACAACACGTCTAGCTGTTGGACACCACTTAGAGCGTTGTGAAATGAAAATGGGTTACATAAACGAGCTCTGTCGGAGGCCTGTGTCAGCCTGTGTGGTGGCTTTATTGTGAGACGCACCTTCAGCACCCCCCCTCCCCCACCCCCAGACTGAGCGCCTTTCACAGAAACTCTGGAGCTATTGGGTAATGCGGGAGAGTAACGCCAAGCCAGTCTTAGCCCACATCGAACATCGTGTTTTGTTATACTTGACATGATAGCATTTCACTCTGGCCAAACTTGTCAGAACAAAACTTGGCAACGAGAAAAAAATGCAGAACTTAGAAGCCCCGTCATCCTTAATAAACGGCTGGGGAAGGAAGAGAATTAAAAGGGGATCAAGAGTCAATCACGGTTGTGGGGATTGAGTGAAGGCGTCACATCTGTAAGCCAATCAGCTTCTAAGGGCCCTGCACGTGTCTGCTGTGTGGCCTTTGTTTGAACACACCTGGAATGATTGGTTTTTATCTGCCTCAGTAGATAGGGGGATCTTCATTCAAACAACACCTTCAGCTGTTTCTTTCTGAAGAATAGCAGGATGGATTTACAGGTGTTGATTTCAAAAGAAGTGCACTTTTAGATGTCAGACTCCCTCTCGTTATCTCCTGCTCGTTATCTATAGAGGACGAATTTAGCTTTTCACGGTCTTGGATATCCATCGGAGGCAGTGAATCTGAAAGCGAACGTGGTTCTGAGAGATATCGCACCATCCCCCCCCCTCCCCAGCGTCACTCTGAGATCGCGATTAGTTTGATTATTTTTGTTATGGGAGGTAAGGTGGTGGCATTGTGGGATTGTCACCGATCGGAGGCAGATAACCGTGGGAAAGCAGGAGAGTGGAAGAGGGGAAGAAAAAGCCTCTTTGTGGAGTCGTGGAGTCACCCACCCACCTGCTGTCTTAAAGAAAAGGGGCTGAGGTGTGGCACTCCCATCCAATTAGGCTGCTTAAAGCTGCTTAAAGAAACAAACTCTACCAGAACAACTGCGTTGATATCAGCCTGGCCCCGGCAGATTGGCACCTCTGAATGAAGTGAACGCCTTTCTTTAGAACCTGCAGCTGAGACAGCACAGCTTAGCCTGCTAAGAACCAGAGGAACCACCTCCCAGCTGACCGATGTGGCCCAGTTTCCTGGAGGTCAGGAGTACAGTGAAGCAGCTGTCTAGCTGGTGGTCAGGCCTCCATTTCCATGTGATTTTCGCAGCATGAAAACAAGAAGGTTTCTCCTCATGCATCTTTGACCTGGACCTACTTCCAGCACCTTCATTGGTCCTCTGAAGATATGCTGAAGACCATGTGTATGAGTTTGGAAATCTCACACGTCTTGCTGACACAGACATTCGATGTCTAGGGGGGCCCTCGGCTGTCACAGTCCACTGGCTCTCAAGATGGAGACAGTCGAACCCTGGTGGACCCCCTCTGCCAAGCTCAGCGTGCTTCTGCTGGGCTGCATTCAGTCCTGCCGGTGTGGGGCCCCCCTCATTTCCGTGTCAGGGCCCGGACATTCTGAGGGGCATGGCAAACATCGCTGGCAGTCCACACATGCTGCGTTAAGGAGCTGCCCTTCCTGTCCTATACAAAACAGCCCCCCGTTATATATCTGGTTATATGCCAAACTCTCTAATGCATCTGTGCGGCGCAGTGTTTTCTTTCCACCAATAAAACTGCTTTTCTTTTATTACCAGGGGGCCGTGGTTCTCAGAAGCGTGTGCGATCTGTCCCAGGGGGATGCTACTAATCAGACATCCGAAATCGTTGTTTAAAGAATCTGCATCAATATGAAATTCAGAATTTTATTACAATGTGATTGTCTCATGAAATCCTGCTCTGTATGACTAGTGCTGCCATGGGATGGTAGGTATGTGTGTGTGTGTGTGTGTGTGTAGATTAGGTTTATATTATATTGTGGGGACCAAAGGTTCCCTACAATGTGAGAATACTTGTTATTTTCATGTTGTGTGGACCATTTTTCAGGTCTCCACAAAGATCTGTGAATGCAATGAACAGAAGGTCCCCATTTAGATGTTATGCCAACGTGTGTGTGTCTGTGTGTGACTGCGCGTGTATGTGTACAATACTTGAAGACAGACATGAGAGGAAGTTATGCATAGACATCAGATGGACGATGCTCCCGTGAACTTGGATAGCAAGCAGTCAGGGTTCAGATTACTGGATATTGAGCAGTGAAAGGCTGACTTTCACAAGCCCATTTACAATCCTCCTTCTGTCACCAAGCCCTCCCCTCTGATTTATACCGTGTGTCAGGGCACAAATCACGCCACTTTTCTGACGGTCCCTAAACGATTATTGATTGCTCTCCCAGTCTCTGGGGGATGAACATGACTTACCCAAGCCCACAACCTCTAACTTACTGAGCAATCAAATGCAAATATATCTTTTAAAATAAACAGAGACGGTAACGAGCTGGAGACCAGCCCAGCGGAAATGAGACCGTAGTCTTCAGAGCTAAACTAAACTTAGCAAACGCGAGCAAGTTAAAGTGGCTTTGGATCAAAGGCGAGGGACCCCTGAATGCATAGGTCCTTAACCTCTGATTGAGGGGTTATTGGCCCTGCGTTGTCAGGGGGCCAACCACTGGTGGTGGTGGTGGGGGATGGGGGGCGGAGTAGCCAATCCGTGGGGGGCTTACTGCTGCTTATCTTAAAAGAGCCAAGTGGAGCTGAAATGGTGCTAAGTGATAGCAGCGCACAGATCCCTGCAGGATTGTCTGTTTACAGAGCTCAGGCCTACAGCCTTAAGCAAGAGCGTAGCATACCTGCTTGTCCTGACATCTGAGATCTGTGATTAAGCTGTGATTAAATCCTTTATCTCACATAGCTGATAGACATTTACTCAGCCCAAGAAACAACAGTGGATCCCTTAGGTAATAAAAGCTTAAAAGGAAATATTTCTGGCTGATAAAAGTATGACTGCTTCACCTGAAAGCTGACAGCACCCCGATAGATGTTACTGCGCGGGTCCTGCAAGCACTGCATTTCCAAAAACCCCACCGAAACCATTTCGATTCTCATAAAAACCCGAAGTGCTTGACAAATTGCTTGCCGCGCAGACGTTACGAATTACACATCATTACAGTGACAGCATTGGGACCGTTTCCCGGTTTTTCTGATTTATTCAATAGGCCGCCAGGCTCTGTATTCCGCTGTCGCATTTCGGCTGCGGATCAAGCTGCGCCGCTGACGTGCTGTTTACCGTGAGCCTCTGATACCACGAGGTGCTAGGAGGATTGATACTTCTCTGTGGAGCACGGGAAACGTTAGAAGGTGTATACATTACCTGCAAAAAATAATATATACAAGTTCCTGTGCCATTGCTGGAAAAAATGTCAAGGAAAACAGTTCATTAGAAGAAACATATGTTATTTTTTCCAAATGTTATTTTTGTCATGGTGTGTGTGATGTGATGGTGTGCAGTGACTTACACACACTTACTGGACCCACCAGTCTGCTCTCTGTGGGGGGCGGCAAATTATTGCGAGGGAGGGGGGCTTGCATGAAACCTTATCTCCCCAGCCCATCCTCCATGGGTTCTAGAAACACTCACGGTCTCGTCAGGTCAAATGGAGCAAACCAGAAACTGTTTTATTTTTATTGACCACTGGAAAACGTATCTGGGGACTTTCAGTATGAGTGTGAATTCTCCCCCCCCCCCCCCCC